TCTCCCTAGCCTTGGGAAACATGATGAACTTACTTTTGAAAGCAGTGAGCTGCAGTCACCAGGTATTTGTCACTGATCAAAGATGCCCCACAGCTGTGTCGGCCATTCCTTTTGAGAGTTGCTTGCCATGGCCACTCTCCCTCCTGAGCAGCAGAACCTCCCTTGATTCTATCATATGTAGCTGACATCCTTGCTCGTCTCCCACAGCCTGTCAGAGGCAGTCAGTTTTGTTCCATTGAGAATAGAAAGATACTGTTTATTGGATTACAAAGCTGACAGTGAAGTGAATTATTCTTGTATGTTCTGTCTGACACTATCTTACATTTATAGGAACAGAATAATCTGTACAGGGATCACTAGCATCCCCTGAGTCACCTCCATACCTAGCATAGTACCTCCAAGACATCTCAGCACTTGGAGAATGGGAGTCAGATCGAGTCATGGTTAAGTCCATGACTTCTGCAACCAGACTCCCCTCCCTAGTTTTAATTCTGGTCCCACCATTTACAAACTAGTTGAATGTGGGCAAGTTATTTCACTCTATTGTGCTTCAATTTCCCCATCTCTAAAATGGGACAGTAATAATAATACCTACTTTTAGAATGGTTGTGAGAATTAAATAAGTTATATATAAAGCACTTAGGACTGTGCCTGGCCAAGAGTAACAAATCTTGACTTATGTTTAGATCATCTCATACATTTAATTAAAAAGTATATGAACTTACGGCTGTTAATAATCTTTTCAGCATCGACCTTACTGATTTCTGAAACAGAACACAAAGGACAAGGTAAATTTAACACCTTGCATTAATTCAATGACCCAGGGGCCCCTGAAGTAAGATGGTAGGTCCGGCAGGGCAAGAAGGTCCAGAAGTAATTTGGAATCTCATGATAAAATGTTGATAAAAAGGAGAGGACATTGGTGTATTTGAATTGTTCTTTTACAATAAGTGAATATGTGATATAGAAATATCATCTTCATAGTTCCATGTGAGAGACTTCTTTTTATTTAATTGAAATTGTATTCTACATTATCTAGAGTAGAAAATTGCCAGTATCATTCTTTAGAAGAACAGGAAGTTCCTACAAGTGAACCTGATTTCTGTCAACATAAAAAAATAACTTTTAAAAAATGGTCTGCTATAATGGCAGATCCTAGGCTGTTTTGGAAAATTGTAGATCATGAAAAGAATAGCAAGACATACCATTACTTATAGGAACTGTTCAAAGTCATACTAACTGCTTTAGATAACAAGCGACATTTCCCCCTCAGAACTAGTTTTAAGGTGTGGAATTATTATGATTTGAATGTGTTTTTAATAATAGAGAATAAAAATTATTGCTCAGATGTAAAACAGTGACATTCTTTTTTTACGAAATATTGGGGATCAGCTTTGTGTCTGGTGTTTGTGATATGTGTTATGGATAAAAAGATGAAAGTAATCCTGCTCCCAGCTAGTGCATAGGCTTACCTGTGAGTCTTAGAGAATTAGGATCTGTAGTCAAGGATCCTGAGTCATTACTCAGCATCTGACGTAAGATGTTTTCGATTCTCCTTCTTGTGTTTTCCTTCATTGATCTGGGAGCTTTGAATATCAGCCATATATGTGCTCTCATACTGTTGTCATCAGGACTGGAAACAACATAAAGATGTCATGTGTTGCTAAGAAATGACATTTCTTTCCTCATTCCCTCATCTTTCATATCTCAATTTCTTCTGCTTTTTAATGGATTTGCACAGTACCTTCACTTTAATCACAGGACTGTCCATCTGTCTACATTTACTCAGTGACAGTATGCATATAGCTAGGTTACTCAGTTTAGAGGGCAAGTAGTTCTACAAATCTGAAAAATAGGAAAGGCTTGAGGTACAAGGTAGAC